ATTACAAGGTGATTGCCTCTGTGTCATTACAGTATATTTGCTCTTTGAAGTTTTTTTATTAGCCATGCTTAAATCTTATTGGTTGAGTTACATCTGTTAGTATTTTTGTCATGTATAGTCAAAGGTGGAATGATATTTTAAAAAAAAGATCACAACCTTTTATTTAGACTGTCATATTATTTTACAAATTCCACTTTAAAATCTGCTTAACTACCATACAGTTTCTAGATGATCCGTGAAAGCATGTGATGACACGCTTACACCCTGTCCATTTGAACCCACTGAAACAACCCCGTATTAATTTCATATAATCCCACCTCATCAATACAGCATGCATCCCTTGGGGGAAGCGGAGCCAGCCAGCCTATTACTCTCTGCGATTTCATGCTCGGCCTTTGGAAGTCAGGTAGATTAGTCACAGTGGAACATTGATGGGGCAAGTTTTGTCACCTCCTCTCATAATTCTCCTGTCCCCTTCTGTCTGCAACAAAGCCACTCCACACTCCTCACACCTAAAAGGTGTTTGCTCGCCGCTTCGGGACGTTTGAACCATCGAAAGTGTGACAGGTGGCAAGGTTGGTTAATTCAATTTGTCTGGAGTTTGAATACATCGAATTAGTTGCGTGGATATGGGCAATTTATGCAAATCAATTAATGTTGATGTGACAGTAATAAAGGCGGCTTGAACCTTATTACACGTTGTTCCATAAAACAGCCATTAAGTACCCTGCAGATTGCCTGATAAGAGTGGGAATGGTGTTGGGGCTTTTTACTGACAAGGAAAAAATCATGAATATCATTAAGGCACACTTTGATAACTGTTGACACTCTTGACAGAAGCTTAGGCTCTCTTTATTTGCCTCCATTGTCTTTGATTAGCAAAAGGAGATGTTTGTATACTTAAGAATCAAAAAAATTTTCTGAAACATATGACAACAATTATGCCTACTAGTATTTTATATTATACACTCAATTATGCCTACTAGTATTTTATATTACCTATACACTGCAAGTTTTTTATGATCAGCCTTGACCTTTTAATAATTTTATTCTTGACTTCATACCTGAGATCAGGGACCTCATGTGATCCAGTATCACAAGGATCACAGATGGAGATCGAGATAGCACTGCACTAGATGCTCCAGTTTTGTAGAAAAAGGATAAATGGGTGGACGAAACTTTTTTTGATTAAAGCAAGCATTAACTCACTAATTGATTTTTCGACAAACAAAAAAACTGATTCCTGTATTAACCAAGCTGACCAGCTGCCGTGTCAATAGCTAAAAGTAATAGACCTCGGTAATCAGAAAAGTGCTGAGGCATATGGCAAACAGATAAAGAAATATTGGGTGTGCTAAAAAGATTGAAATGTTCCTACATAGATGTATGGCACGCTTTCCAAATGTCGTAACACAGTGAGTCTCTCTCTGTGTGACATCTGCCCCCACCAGCTGTTACAAGTGATAAGGGCCCTTTTGACTGTGGGATTACCATGTAGGGCCATGGTGAGGGACCAGGGCTGAGGAGTTAGTCAAAAGTGCCTGTAGTGGTCCGCATTGTGTGGAGGTCAGGGTGTGGTGGGCTGAGGGGCAGCTGAGTAGACTGTGGTGCATTCAGCGCCGAGACACCATGGGGAGCTAACTAACGTGCAGCAGCGTAGAACAGAAATATCTACACCCTGTAGTAGAAGTTGTGGTTTTTCTGCTGCCTTGTGGTTTTTCTGCTGTGTGTAGGATTATAGAAGAGGTAAGTTGCTTGTGTTATCTACGGTAGCATAAACTACTTGAGTGTAAAAACAACAAGGAAATTATCATGAGGTGGTTTGAGTGTTTTAGGAAATGATACTGTAGCCATGTGGTCTGTTTATGTACATTGGCAGCTACCGACCTAAAAAATAACAGATAAACCTAAAAACAATTCTTTTTAAGCTGTTCCATTTTTTGTATAGTGTTTATTTTGAAACATCAGGTTATTTTTCAGCATCTTAACTTGAGATGTGCAATTTGTTTTTACACTGTTTGGAGCCATCGTGACTTTTTTTGTGAGGAACTTGATGTGGTTCAAACCACATTTGACAGGCTGGGTTTGAAGTAGATGTTTGAGCCTATATTCTTGACCTTGAAGATAGGAATCTAACCACAAAATCAAACTGCAAGTGAACTTCTTACTTAACCACTGAACATGATACAGTATTAACACAGTAGATGTTGCAATGACAGTTTTTTCAGCAATACCGCACTTGGTGTTTTCTTTTGCTGTTGACTCAATTGAGTGCAGTCCATAGCAGCTTTGCTAGGGGGACATTGTACCATGTATGCCAACAAAATATTCCCTTACAAGAGCTAAGATATATTTGGGGTGCTTTGAGTTCAGCTCATCAATCAGATATGCTGATACTGTCAAGGGCTCTTGTTCCAGCAATATTGAACATGAGCAGCCCTTTTGCATTATTCTATTTTGCCTGAGGCTAGCCTATGTTTTTCCCATCATCAGCTATTTAATAATAATAGGATTTGCTTTTCAATGGCAACAATAACAAGTCCTTCAACGATCTTGACTTCAAAACAGCTGTCATTCTAGATTATGCTTGGTATATTTTTGCCTGTTCAATATTACCTAATACTGGCTTTTTCATTATTCAGCCATGTAAAAATTTTGGCTAATCTCTCATAAAAATATGGACTAATATTAATCCTTCCTGAACCCCATAAAACTGCTCATCATTGTTCCAGGCTACCATATTTTTATAATATTAATGAAATCTTTGTGTTTCACATAGCTGAAACTCTCTTTCTCTCTCTGTTTGTCTGCTTGCTGCTAGAAAGGTATGGATTTTTTTAATGGTAAGCTATGGTCACAGATATGGTAATGTGCGTACAGGTGGAGAGGTTTGCGCTCAGATCCCAGTTGATTCCCCGCAGCGCGAACTCCCGTGGCAATCATTACAAGTTGGATCAGCGCACGTCTGCACGGCATGTGTGCCGAGATATAGCGTGCCATTAAGGATGTGGCGCTGAGTGCACCGTTTCCATGACAGTAAACTCGCAGTAAGAGCACCAAAAAGGCCATTAGGAACCCCACCCATGCTCGAGCTCAGTCTCCCACCCTCTGATGTGGAAGCCGTGTTAACTGTTTGTAGGTCTGCATTGTGAATGAGGTACCATGTCAACACATCATCCATGTCTGGTGAGCCTTGGTTATTACCTTGTTTACATTGTGAGCGTATCGACCAGTCTTAAATAATTGATAATATGATAGTATTACTTATTGCTTTTGTAGCAGTTTTTTTTTTTCATTTATTGGGGAAAATTTCTCAAGTGGACGAGTGTAACAGAGAAGTAGTTCTGAAAAATCTAGGTGGCCACCACGGGATTATATTATGATAAGCAAAGGTGATTATTAATGTCTAAGCTATAAATATATATGCATTATGTATTCACCCTGATGTTTGTCCAGAAATTGGTCTCAGGTTTTGTAGCTGCAGAAATAAAAGAGTAAATTCAATTATAGAATTTTAGTGCGATACGTTCTGCTAGAATGGCAGAATTTATTCTATCATTAGCCATCGACAGGTTTCAAGAAAGTTGCAATATCCTGCTTGTCCATAGATGGAGTATGTGCTACAACTTGAAGACAAGACTGTACCATATTCCGCTATGGGCATTCCTTTGGTCAGCAAACTTCTTAACTGCTCTAATCTTAGTGCTGTACTTGCCATCAATAGAACAAACATTTTCATAGTGTATTATACTTTTTTGGTGAATTGTTCATTGTCAAACAAAACAAAAACTTTGACAGCTTCATACTTCAAAGCGAAGATTGTTTAGTGTTGCACTTTTATCTTTGTTTAATTCATCGCTGACAGGGGCTTTATATGGGCTAATTGGTAAACTGACCTCATCTCGTTAAATGGTATAACCCAATTCTGGACTGGGCAGTGCACTTGTTACAGAATTAGAGGGCAGCTGTAAGATACAGAACAGGACTGTCCCCAGGCTCCCAACTGTTTGGGTTACACCCAGTTGGACCTTTGGGCCCTGTGCTCCAGTCACCCTAATTTATCCACCCAGGAAGTGGGCTGGGTGTAGCCATGGCAACTGTGTCACATGATCCCCAAGAGAGCTGATTGGCTCCTAGAATTGCTGTTGGAATAGCCTGGAATTGATGCTATCATTTTCCAGTGCCAAGGTGTTGATTGCTTGCCTGTTGTAGCTAGCTGGGCTGTTGTAGATAGCATTCCTGCAGGCCAGGGTGTACACTGTAGGTCCGTACCTCCCGCTCCTACCTTTAGGTGAGTGTCTGTTTTGCACGAATTTGTTTGGTTTGTTGCCAACATGTTATCATTGACCTTATGGCACGACATATGGATCCCTTCACACCACAGTGTGTAATGTTAGGGATGGTTTGAGGTGATCAGGATGCTAAAATCAGATAGTAGGTGGTGCACTCGGTTGGAAAGATGTCTTTGTACCCCGCTCATATCTGTGCTTTTTATCTCCACAGTTGTTCCTTTCATCCAGATTGGATTCTGCATAATTAAGCCACATATGGCAAAAAGTAGCCATTAGATGATTGCTTATTTCTCCATTGATGATATCAGCTGTAATCAAAAGTTTGCTCCCATGCAGAGAACAGGCTAAAAGGCTTTCCACAACTCTCTCACTACCTTGTTCTTTGGTCCAGCCTGTGTTTTTATCTGTCACTCAAAAAGAATGCCCCAGTTGGAGATATACCACATGTTTCAGTCTCAATCATCAACAGTTTCCTTCTAGTATCTTCCCTTTCCTGACTAACTCTCTGAAAATGTTCGTGCTAATCTGCTCGGAAGTTGATTCATTGGAAATCCGACATGCCTTCCTCCTGTGTTTTCCTTGCGGGCTGGAAGTGTCCCTCCAGGTCTCTCCCCTCGTGGCCCTGACACCCAAGCTACATCTGGTACCAGTTACAGGCCAGAAAGATTGAATAACACTAAATTTAGGTTTGTTTCCCTCTAGCTCCATCCCAATTGGGCCTCAGCAGCCAGCGTGGGCCCCTAGTGGGGACATAGAACACATTCCCAGACTAGATTGCCATGCTCGCTGTTCCTCCCAACACATCACTTGACTTTCTGCAGCCGAAAAAAAAAATAGCACACTGCATGATAGAGACTGACCCTCAAATTCCTTTACAATTCGGAGGGTGTCTGCCTCCTTTCAACTTCTAATTGGTCACGTGGTTACAACAGCGGAGAGAGGAGGGTGTGCTCACAGAGAATTTCGAACGGTAGAAAGGCAGGCAGCCCTGGCAACGACGTCGGCTAGCATCCGAATGGGTTAGTGGCTCTTTCATTGGTTTTCTTCATGCAATTATGTGGTCACTTGTGTTTGCATAATAGTATTGTCAGGATAACGGCAATTTGATTACGGGACAAGTGGGGGCTTACAAATTGAGTCGACGGGGAAAGAAGGTAGGTAGAGAATGGAGTTGCTTGGGGGATGGCGGAAGCAAATGAGGGAACGAGGTGGAATTTTGTAATGCAGCGCTAGTACGGCGCACCAACGGGTGGCCATGACGTCAAGCGAGCATCACTATGAAATCCTGGCACCCTGGCTGTTGTTACTGTGGTTATCCCTGCACTGCTAGCCTTTAGCCCGGGGAGGAGTTGGCATTAGAACAAGGTTGGAACCTTTTCAGTGTCTATTTACTTTTCGTTCTATTCTCGCAGACTTGTTAAGGCTTTGTATGTTCTTGCGCACAGCGAGTATTGTGTGGAAGGTTTGTTGCATGCGCTGTACAATAGTAACAATGACAGGACTGAGAACCCATTTATTTAAGAAAGACTTTTTTTCACTTCACTAAACATAGCTCAATGAATGGTTGTAGGCCATTTGTACGGTATTTCTAGCAGTGATTGTGGACCATTCTAGCTACAACTGTGGAACAATCCTGCATAAATAATAGCTACCCAGTAATGCAGTTGCGGTAATGTACACAAGTCTGAGACCTCCCTGTACTGTACAGTATTTCCATCCCAAATGCGCTTGCAGTCCGTTTCCAATTCAGGTAGGTCATAATCCTCTGCCTTTTCTGCATAGCAAAAGATGAGATCAAAGATACTTTGTGGAAAAGCTCAGTTGCTTTCGTGACAGTAGCGTTTGGGTGTGAATAAGAGGTCAGCCGAGAAAACATGTTGTCTGTGCCATTGATTGGTGTGCTGGGATTATTTTGATTCCGAAAGAATGGGGGTTCAAAAAGCCGCACTAGCTGTACCCGATCCCTTCATGTAAAATTAAGGTTTCCATCCATTCTCTGTACCACGCTGTGCCGGTATTGGTAACGTGGGGAATAATAGATGGGATCCTGTGTTGTTGCTCCTATGGAGTAAAGAACAACTGCTGTTTCTTTTTAAATACCACAAGCAAGCTTTGTTGTCCCAACTGGCCACTTCTGAGAAAGTCAGGTAAAGGGGGCTCTTTTTCAGTGAGTTGAAGAGGTAAGTTGAAAGACCTTCTATTTTGTGATATTGATATTATTACATGTAGATCTCTTGTTGTTTAGTCATCCTCGTCAGAGGTGAAGCATGATATCATGCTTTTTCTATTAGCTATGCTTGTGCAATGCGGCTTCGCTACGGCTCTTGATCAGCTGTAAAATGTTATGTGTCATCCTTGTACTTGAACCAACAATTCCTTAGTTACCCGTGATAGTTTGCCAACTGTTGTGCAACAAAATCTCGCAAGTGTTCAGACAGTTTATGTTTTCAGAGAATTCTTGTCTTCCTGTCTTCTCATTGCGGAATTCTTCCTCGGAAAGGTTCCTCACCTTAGGTCACAGTTCACAAAGTAAATAAGCTGTCACGGGTTTGTATGAAACCTCCCAGATGTTCAGATATATAGTATTCCACACAAAGAAGGAGACCTAAGCGTCAGATGTTGCCATGAAAATGAGTAAACTTGCCTTTCGTAAGAACATCTCAGTTTATTTTAGATAGAGCTGATGTCAAATTCAATCTTTTATAGGTGGTCTTATTTCAACAAATGTCAAATGCTTGTGTAATTTGCTTGTCCAACATAGTGGCTTTGGGTAGGTATGGAAATTGTTACCATTCATCTGTCAGAAAGTGCAAGGATACCGAAGATCACAAAGTAGTACAGTATCTGTATATCCTTGGAAGAATTTTAATGAGACAAAACACTTGTGCCACAGTGGAAATTTGTATCTGAAGAACAAGTCCTTCAAAGCCAATTTCAAAGTAATGTAAACAGTGTCTTTTACCAAGGGAAAGGGTGCTGTCAGCTTTAGGCAGACATGAGTAAACATTGCCCTTGATTTAGATCTGTCCTCTGTCAAGAAACCAGTTAAGTAGGGATTCTGGTTTCTTTCAGGATTCAAGTTTTACAAGATATTGCTGTAAGTGTAACCAGTCGCAGAAATGTTGATGGCATTACCAGGCCACACCATTATAAGGTGTATGATTATTATATAGCATAGCAAGCCAACCTTGCCATTTGTTTACTGCAAAAATATTAATATTTTGTCAATGTGAAAATAGGTATTAGCTTTGCACGATTGCTAGAAGATAAAGTACTTTTCATAACATATACCTGTATAAGATTTAATACATACCAGTATCAGGTTCAGGTAGCATTGCCAAGCAATTTTGTATGCTTGTTTTAGAATCACAGACCAGAAGGTTCAGGTTCTTGCCAGGCTAGTTAGGTTAGGTAAGGTTACCAGTTATAGCTTTACAAGACTGGATAATGATAGACCCTGCTTTGATATTTGGCCTTTCAGAGGTTACCACACACTACTACACACATGCGGCTATTTTTGACTGCAAATTCCCCTCAGAAGCGGGTCTACAAATTAAAAGTAATGAGTGTAGAATCACAAACCAATTGACTGGCAATGTGACTGAATTCCCCATCTGCATGCAGCCACTAATAGCAGGAGTGTGCCTCCCCAGATGTGTGTGTGTGTGAATTCCCCATACAGGCACTGCAAGGGAGAGATAAATTTTGCAGCAGGGGATTCCAGTCCATTTTTCATGGATTATGGATCTAGAGGCTATGGATTTTGTATCCATCTACCTGTCACTGGGGTTGTTATGGAGGGTGGGTGGGAGGGAGGGACTCTCTTGCCACTGCAGGCTCTCTTTGATGGATGATGGCTGAGTTCCTATAGTGCAACACTGTAGGGATTCCTTTTGACCAGACTCACTTGTATAGGTCGTTGCCCGTGAAGTCTGCATGTTCTGGCTATGGTATGCTTCTAAAGATAACTTGCGGTCACATCTAGACTCTATCTGTATTGTATCTAAATAGCAGACTCTAGTCGTGCCTATTTGATTTTGAGGCAGGAAAAATCACACAATGTGTACGACGAAAACATGGACAGTTTTGAACAAGGTTGACTCCTGTCTATTGTCTATCTCTTGTGTGGTTCCCACAAAATAGACACATGTCCGTGCCTAACGAAGCCATCATTTTGTCGAATACAAACCTATCATTATATTCAGATTCCTAGAAGCCTTGCGAGTTGCTTGATGTTGTCGTGAGACTGGAGGAGGGAAACGGTCTTTCCGCACCTTTATCAGTCTGAAGCGAAATCTCTGCCATGTGTAACCGCCGTCGAAGGTTATCACCCCCAGTTACGGAAGACCTGGACAGTGTAGGATGGTCAGTGTCCGAGCCAGAACTACACACACCACACTCCCATGGACAATAACAAGCCCCCATGTTCTCAGGGAGTCTTGACCTGGAGGCCAGAAAGGGTCAGGATTCTTCCATAGCAGGAGGTGATGTGTGTGTACTGTGCCATCGCATGTCAAAAAGCTTGTTGTAGCTAGATTCTACTGTAGTCAATAGTAAATTCAAATTCGAGACTTGGGTTGAGTTATACTGAATTGATCTGGAGTTTTGATATTAGTAAGACAAGGACCATAGCTTTGATATAGCTAGAGTAGAGCTGCATAGCCTGGCATAAACCTTGTAGCCACAACTAGTAGTAGAAAACTAAAATTGAGATTTGGGTCATCAAGCTGTAACAAACTGATCAGGAATTATGATATCAATGAGACAAGGATCTAGCTTTGATACAGCTCGAAATATATACTAGTACACAGGTATAACGGTGGAAGAGGTTGTATTTGATAACATCGGAGATGATCATCCCACGTGATGTTGGAACTGCATATTGGATACAAGAGGTCTATCTTTGTAGTGATTTTTTGCTGCACCACATTTGTATAAAGGAAATGTTCGTATTATTTTTTAAGAATGCTAACCTGTGGTTGGAAGCCATGAATTAGTTTGAAGAACTATATACGCAACCAGTACTTTAATTTTGGAGAATGTGAGTATAATTTTGGGGAATGTGTGTTCAAACTGAAAACATATTGTTGTAGACTGTACATAGTGTGTGGCATGTTGCATGGCAAATTATGGATTAATGTTAGCTGTTTGGGGAGCTGAATACAAAATGTGGAGTGAAAATCCCTCTTTGTGTCTCCGTATCCCATCTAATTTGCTAGGAGATCGATACATGTTTTATGCATGTTGAAAAAATCCTTTTATGTCGCGACCAAACATGTTATAGAAGCGGGAATGATCGAAATTCATGCTGGCCTTGGCATATTTAGCGCAGTGCGACCAAAAAATGAAGCTGTGGTAATGCCTGCAGACTGCTGTTTCATGGAAATCAGAACAAATATGGGCCCATTTTCACAGCAGATAAATCTGAACGTAATGGACATGTTAAAGCTTTCATATGTTCATGCAGTGATGAATGCTACATGCAGAATCTTCCTAATGACTTCAATTTGAATGATTGAAGCTTCCAACTGTGCTGTCAGACCAGTGGTACTCTATTTGGGTGTTTTGACACTGTTAGATTGTTTTGGAGAAGGGGGATTTAGGCAAGATAGCTTGGTTTTGAAATCTGAGTCAAGTCAGGCAAAGTATTGTATGTAATGGATCCCAGTGAGACTGGTGATGTATTGAAGTTTCAAGTTTTATCCATCAACTTGTACATCTAACAGGCAAGAACCTGAGCAAGTTGTTCATTTTCAGTGACGTTAATTTGTGAAGAGGGGGCAATTAGGAAAAAGAGTTGCACCATGAAGCATCAAGAAGTTAAAGTGCTATTCCTCTAGATTTGTTATTAATTCCTCTACTGACGGAAGCTCCATATGTGTACAGGGCAACTCTGACCTGCTAATTGTTTCCAAAAATTATCCTACAGGACGTGGCATTTCCACTCAATTACAGCCCATGCAAAACAGGATGTTGTTCCTTGTGTTCGACCAGTTTGGTAAACTTCTGCTTTGACTTG